ACCTTAGCACCACAAGCAAGGCAAGCATGGGAAAATTTGCAGGCCTCTGGTGGAAGCTTGCATTCCTCATTATTGTACCTCCGACAGACTTCTGCCTGTTTTGGTTTCTTCTCTGGTGGGGAACTACCCAAGAGCCCCACCTGCAGGGCGCAAGATGACTGGGGGTGGTCCGCTCCATTGCATAATTGACAGGAAAACCTTGCCCCCGAGAACACAGTCGAGGCTAAGAGAGAGGGGGAGATCTCCCTCCATGAGAGGCTGGACCCTGCAGCTGCCTGCTGGCAGAAAAGCCGATTGTAGGCTTGCCAGCTGCGACCACCGTGCCTCTGGGCAAGGTGTAGGTCCTTATACGCCATCCCTTTTTATTGTAACTGAATTGGTTTATTTCGATGATAACAGCTATTCCATGGGGAATAAGGTGTCTCTTCACGTCAGCATTTTTTGGTGATCAATGTCTTTACTTTTTTAATGAAGTAGTGCGAACAAAATGACTATTTTAATTTCTATTGAACCATATACGAAGAGAAGCCAGCTGGGATGAATTGGAAGTTGAAAGATGAGGTGTGAAAGAGAGGGAGAGAGAGAACTAGGGCTGAGGATATTATTCCCAAAAATATCCCCATTATTCTATTCCCTTATTCCCAATATATTTGCCTATTATTCCTATTATTATTCCCAAATATTATAAAAATAAACAAAATAACTACACCAGTAGAGTGTACTGGTGTACCTTCAGCACGAACTCAAACTTAGTATACTATCCACATTTTGTTACTATTTCAGTCTATTATTTTGCTGTAAAATCTAATAATAATAACAATAATAATAATAATAAAATTTGTCTCATTTAATGCTCATTATACTGTAACTTTATAATGATGCCTCAATTGAGTCTTGTAAAGCACACTCATTGGTATCTTTGAAGGTGTTAGACAAGATTTATTAAGCATTCAGCCACACCTACTGCACAATTTTACAAATTTTGCCCTATTATTCCAGAATTATTCTTTATTTTTTAGACCACCTATTATTCTTTTTTTATTCTGGGAATAAAATCCTCAGGCCTAGAGAGAACACTCTTTTCTTCCTGGGTTGACTCAACAGGCTTCAAGACCCCCTCCAAGTTTGATTTGGTATCTCCTGCTTCCACTTTTCTTTTCTTAGTCCCTATGCATAAAACAAGTAAGGAGTCTTACACT